AAATATAATAAAGGAATTTAGAATGCCGCTCGGCATATACAATAATAATACTCTCGAACTTAACATAGCACTCCCAAAACCCGGAATCTCATGAATCACAAGCTAAAGAAATACATAATGTTTCTAACTCCAGAAGTCTAACAATGAAACAAAATACAGGAAGTCTATAACTGAAGGGAGAATAGAGAGGGACTTCTAGGTCTACGGACGCGGCAGATATACCTCGAAGTCTCTGGATCGCCTCGCCTCACTGGAAGCATGGCTGAGAAGAAGAACCTGGATCTGCACACGAAAATATGTGCAGGAAAGGGCATGAGTACACCACAACGATACCCAGTAAGTGCCAAGCCTAACCTCGGTTGAGTAGTGACGAGGTAAGGTCAGAGCCCTACTGGTTTATAAATATAATAAGATAAAACATCATGAAATATCGCAGTAGAGTTAAAATGCTAACAATCAATAAAGAATGAAATCACAGGAAGGAACAACCCAATACATAGCGATAGCAACAGGGGATCTCCCGGGATACCGTCTTGTAGTCCCAAACGTAAATGTACAGAGGATCTCCCGGGATACCGTCCCGTAGTCCAAATCGTAAATGTGCAGGGGGATCTCCCGAAATATCGTTCCGTAGTCCCAAAGTAAATATCCAATACAGGGGATCTCACGGGATACCGTCCCGTAGTCCCAAACATAAACACACAGGGGGATCTCCCGGAATACCGCTCCGTATTCCCAAAATAAATACACAACTCATTCAATATACATAACAGTTCGAGCTAGGAAAGATCTACATTTCTAATCAAGTTCGTAGCAAGGAAGACAGGTAGTTCTTACTCTAAACATGCTACACAGAATCCAGGTAGGCAGTTAAAGCAGATAAAATAGTTAAGGCATATAAGCACGCTTTCCTAAGCTAAATAGGATGCTACGTATACTAATATTGCTCAATTAAAGGGAAACACACATAATTACTTAATGGAAATGGGGTTTTTCAATAATTAGCACGTATATTCACTCGCCACCTCATGTACACGACATTCATATAACAACAGTACCAAAATCCTAAGGGGAGTTCCCCCACACAAGGTTAGGCAAGCCACTTTCCTCGAACCAAGCTCAAAAATCAATCCGAAATCATGCTCTTGCCACGAGTATCCAACTCCGAGTGGCCCATATCTAATCAAATCAATTACATAACGTAAATATAGCTACAAGCAACTCATTTAACTAATGAATTCAAAACTAAGGCATGAAAATAGAAAAACGTCCAAAAATCCTCCCCGGGCCCACATCTCGAAATCGGGTAAAAATCACAAATTACGAACACCCATTCACTCACGAGTTCACTCGTACAAAAATAATCCTAATCCGACGTCAAATTCCTATCCAAAACTAGGAGGGAACTTTTTCCCCCATTTCCAAACTTCCACCCTCAAATTCCTATAGATGAGGAAAACAACAATAGAGTAATGTATTAGGACCAAATTAGAGTTAGAATTCGTTACCCAGTAGTTCTCCTTCAAAATCTCTCAAGAAATCGCCTCCCACGGAGCTCCAAAAGTCCCAAAATTGAAAATAGGATAAAACCCTCGACTTGGCCCTTTTTCTGCCAGAGATCTCGCTTCTGTGAGAGGGACACCGCATCTGCGGTCCCGCACCTGCGGAAAAATCATTGCAGGTGCGGAAGTCACTTATCCGGGCTGGTGCCGAATTTGCGGTCACTGGGCCGCATCTGCAGTCCCCCAGCAGCATTTGCGGTTCCTGATGCCAAGTCCATTTTTGCTTCTGCGGTCCACTCAGCCGCTTCTGCGGTACCGTACCTGTGGTTCAACATCCACAGGTGCGATTATATCTGGTTCAGCAACTTCAGAAATTGCCTAAGTCCAAATTTTCATCCATCAAGCATCTGAAACTCACTTGAGGCCCCCGTGACCTCAACCAAACATACCAACCAATCCTAAAACATCATACAAAATTTGTCGAGCCCTCAAATTACATCAAATAACACTAAAACCACGAATCACCCTCCAATCCAAACCTAATGAACTTGAAATTCCAAAATTCTACAACCGATGCCGACCCCAACCAAACCATGTACGATTGACCCCAAATTTTGCACACAAGTCACATTCAACACTATGGACCTACTCCAACTTCCGGAATCAGATTCCGACCCCGATATAAAAATTTCCACTATCGACCCAAAACTCCAAAAATTCAACTTTCGCCATTTCAAGCTTAAATAAGCTATGGACCTCCAAAACACAATCTGGACACGACCCTAAGACCGAAATCACCCAACAGAGCTAACGGAATTGACAGAATTCCATCCCGGAGCCGTCTTCATGCTGCTCCAACTACGGTCCAAATTCTAAGACTTAAACTCTCATTTAGGGACTAAGTGTCCCAAAACACTCCGAAAATCAAAGTGAACCATCCCGGCAAATCACTATAGTAGAAATAGATACGGGGAAAGTAGTTAATAGGTGACCGGGGCGTTAATTCTCAAAACGACCGGCCGAGTCGTTACAAGGTGGCATCACGACATGTTGAGATTTAGGTCGTGACACTAGTGAGAGCCATCTGCTATCCCGGCCGGTGGAACTTGCTAATTACCTGAAGCCGCTGGCTTCAGAGAAAGATAAGAAGAAAATACACTCTCTTTTGGGGGAGTGTATGGTAAACAACGCCATGCATAAGGCAAAAGCGGTATGATATTTGCTCTTTTTATTGCTTCTTCTTGTCTTGTTATGACATGATTTCTAATTTGAGTTTTTGCTTCGTAGGCTAAATTCCTTACTTCTGAGGGCCTTTAGAAGTTGATCCTCGATAAAGAAAAACTCACGTGGGAGGGGGATGAAATTGTTGCTCGCCTCCCAGCACTGGAAGCACAAGCTGCCGAAGCCGTTGAGTTGGAGGCTTGGTTGTAGCAGAGTGAGCAGGAGGTGATGACCCTCAGCTAAAGGTACTATTTCAAGAGGCCATCGCAAAATGGTCAAAATGTTGTTCTTGCTTCTGCCAAGCGCGAGGCTACCTCTACTGAGATGTTGAATAATTTGGAGCCAACCTTGAATTCCAAAGCTGAAGAAGCTGATGCTGTTGAGGAGAAGCGTGCCCAGATGGAAGAGAAGAATAAGAGGGTCATGGAGCACAATAAAGTTTATAACTCAACTATCCGTGACCTTGATCTCAGCCTTCAAGCCACAAGATACGAGGTTGATCAGCTTAAGTCAGAGCTTTAGCACCAAGCGAATTACCTCATTGTTGATAAAATACATTCTATGTATAGCATGAGGAGAAATGTTGGAAGAGACCAAAGCGGGCATCATTGGTTTTTATGCCGAGATCGCCAAGGCCTATGAGCTGGAGTCAACTGCCCGAAGGGGCCTCCCGGTTCAACCTGATGCAACTGACTCTTTTGGTTCTGGTTTCAAGTCCTGGAGAACTGAGGAAGAACTTGAAAGGGATGATGTGAAGGTCAAGATCCCGCGCCGACGGCATATCTTCCTACTTCTCCTGGGGGCCCAGACGCTTCTCTTCCCCAAAGTTCTAGGGACGCAATAATTTAGTTTTTTGCTTTCTTTCCTTTTTTTTTTCGTTTCATACTTTTATACTTGTGGCTTGGCACGTTTGTTATATAAAAGTGCTTTTTTGTCTAATCATTACGCAAATTTTCCTTTTTGTGTCGAGTTATGCAAGGTTTCAGATGTGTTTTCCCCAATAGTATTTGGGTTTCGGGCATAAATATTTCCGGAACCAACCCTTTACTGTGAAAGTTTCATAAGAGATGGCTCTCTTATGTTTACGGTGCTCTTGAATAGGACGTCTCCTGTTCATTCCGGCACTAGCATTTGAAGTACTTGATTAACTTTCAAATGATAAATTATTTCATTGTTTGGACAAGAAACAAGATAAAAATAAACGGACTTTGCTTCATTCCTTCCATTTTCAAAGTATATAAGCATTCGTTGTGCTGAAAAGAAAATTGCCATTACTTGTGGCTAACTTGTACAACTTGTTCCCATGAGGCTGGCCGCGCAGTCCCCTATCCCGATGATACATCATTGTTCCCAGATTTTATAGTCCCGGTTTATGTGGCAGTCATTTTTGAACACTAGAAGTCTTGTTCCTTTGAAGATCCCACTAGTGAATGATTGGATAATCTTTGGTCCGATAGCAAGCTTCATTTCCCATTAGGAACTTTTCTATAGAGCCAAAGATTATCTAACCACCCTCAAGTGGCTTGCACTCGTGAATGGTTGGGTAACCTTTGGTCCGATAGCAAGCTTTATTTTCCCGTAGGAACTTTGCTATCGAGCAAAATATTATCTAACCGTCCCGTAGTGGTTCATCATTTCCATGCCTTGTCGTTTAAAGGTCTTATTTTTGCTGATGGTGCTTCCTTCGTAGTATGCTTTCCACTGCTGCCTCGTTAAAAACCTTACCAGAAAAATCCAATTAGGACAAAAACTGGATGAATTTAAAAAGAGTGCAACACATACTTTCAGTATAGGCGGTACTCATCGGTAATAGTACCTTTTAAGGTGTGCCACATTTCAGTTGCTCGACAATTTTACTCATTCTTGATTTTCCGGTTCATATGATCCTTTCCCGGTGGAGCTGAAACCCGGTAGGGGCCTTCCCACGTTGGACAAAGCAAACATAGGTGTAATTTCAGAAAATCACTATTCGTAGCTATATTTGAATTTAATAGCAAATCAACCTATAGTGCTGAAATAATTACCAATTATTTTGAACTGAAGCACGAGAGCACTAAACTCTCGTAGCTAGTTGGTTAGACCATTTGCTTAGTAAGCAAAGGTCTTAAGTTTAAAAGCATTCTATTTTTTTATATTATGTTATGTATAGTAATAGACTCTAAACTATAGTGACTTATGAAAGTTCTACATAAATTTTCCCAATTCACATTTTCTTAGCCCAATCACAAACTAGTACTACTTATTTCCATTGGAAAAAGAAAAAGAAGGGTACCCCTAGTTAGGGTGATTCTCAAGCAATTTTTGTGAAGGATTTTACAATTGAGTTTTGGTAGAATCTGCAGATATTTATCAAATGGCACTCTCCTACTTCCCAGAAACTAACAAAAACGAAAGAGAATTTGCCAAATTCCTGCTTCTTCTTAGTCTAGCACAAGTGCATTAACAAATAGAAAAAAAAAAAAAAAATCCTTTTCTCCCGCACACACATTCTAGCCTACTAAAACTTTCTCTCTCTTTCTCTCTCTCTCTGTAAATACTGAGAGTATTTCTGCATTTGTTTCCAAGAATCTCTCACAACTCCCAGAGGAAACATAGGTTCCATTTTCTTTCTCTTTCTTTATTCCATTTTACAATTTCTTGCTCAAGTTATAGCTTTATACTTGTTTCAGAATCTTGCTACAGTTTCTGCAATTTTAAGGTTTTCAGTTCTTCTAAAAATGCTTGCTTTAGTTATTAGGAAAAAAATGCTAGTTATCTGCAAAGTTTACAGCTTTCTCTTTTGCCTTTCTGGTTTATGTTATCCTCATTTGCTGCCATTTTAATGTGTTGACTCACTTTGAATTAGTGTGAATATTGAACACCTTTACAAATTTCCCCTGATTATACCTGTTTGTCGTTTTTTTCCCAAAAAAACTGGCAGGTGCTGAAAGTAAATCTAGACTCAAATTCAGATATAGTCAAGTGGGGTTGTCATATTTTTGGTGGAATTATCAGGTTAAGTTGATTTGTGAGTCTGGGATTTTTTGGGTATGGCTAGTTGTACATCAGCTGTGTGTATGCCTCCTGATACTCGATTGCGAAATGGGTTATTAGCTGTTCTTGGGAAAAGATTTTGCCCTTTGAAAATGCAAGATGAGAAAAATGGATTCTTAGGTGTTAACCAAAAGGGTATCTCAAGTTGGCCACATTTAAAGTGTTCAGCTAATTCACATAGGTTCAACAATTATCAAAGTAAAGACTCATTTCTAAATCTGCATCCTGAAATTTCAATGCTCCGAGGTGAAGGAAACGATACTTTTACTACCTCTAAACAAGAAAGCTCTGGTGGAGCTGTCACTGAGAGCTTAATGGACTCGTCGAACTTGAAGAATTTCAATGAGGCTAAAATTAAGGTGGTTGGTGTAGGAGGCGGTGGATCAAATGCAGTTAATCGTATGATTGAGAGCTCTATGAATGGTGTGGAGTTTTGGATTGTGAACACTGATATTCAGGCGATCAGGATGTCACCTGCGTTTCCTGAGCATCGATTGCCAATAGGCCAAGAGCTCACGAGAGGACTCGGCGCCGGAGGTAATCCAGATATAGGAATGAATGCTGCCAAAGAAAGCAAGGAAGCTATTGAAGATGCAGTTCGTGGTGCAGATATGGTTTTTGTGACTGTAAGTGCAGCTTCTTTTTAGGACAATAAGTTTATTGAGATAGGTGTTCAGCTTTATACTGATTTTACTTCTACGCTCTTTCGTATCTTTCTTTGTATAATGTTGTAATTCACATATGCTTCTAACAACATTTTTTGTTTCATTTTTTTCTTAGATAATAGATACTGCTTTGGTGATACATTGCTTCCTTTCTGTCTCTTAGGAACATATTGAAACTCATAAAAGATATTTGTGACAGATTCAACTGAAATAGATTCTCTTAATCACATGTATCATTATGAATTAGTGATAGGATGCAGAATCCTCAATATGATTTTCACAATTAAGGGCAAGTTAAGTAGAATTGATTTTCTTAACGTCTGACCCCTCTTACCTCAAAGCCTCTGGAAATGGTAAAAAATGGCTGTTTAAGGGAAATCACCCTTTAGTCTGTCTAAAGTTCATTATCCCTGTTACTTATTGCTGAAGTCGTGTTGGATTGTCCTACTACATTCCTTTAGGCTTCTCTGTTTCACAAGTTTAGAATCCTAATAGTTCCATAAAAATGTACTATATATTATACCTAGTGAATCAAAAATATAAATTTCGAGGATGAACACTCGACGTTCAACATATCATTAGTTTGAGCCTCAGTTTTGGAGACTAGGTTGGACACCAGGCATAAATGTAAATTAGTCAATTAGGTGAACTGGATGCTGGATAATAGGATGAGAAACAATCGGGTTTGACTAGATCATCCATGCAAAGGGAGGGAAAAACTTTCAGAGAAGCATTCTTGATATTTTCATATTGCCTTGATGATCAGTCTGGTATTTCAATCATTACCGAGAAAGAGAAGTCTTTATTTTTAGCTTAAATGCATAATAGGGTCATTTCCATTGTTAGTTTTAATCCATTTATGATAACTTCAGCCTGACTATGCCTGACGGGAAATACTGAAATTTCGCCAAGCATTGTGTTGGAAGGCTTAAGCGAAGGGCGAAATTTTCCAGGGGTATAAGCAAAATGGTGAACTTCTCTTTGAGCGACTTAGTAGAAATCGTAGTCTGTTCCCAGATTCTGTGAAGTTTGAATGGTGTCTGGAACTCAGTGAGAATTCTTACATTGAGCACATATTTACTCTACAGTACTTAATAAAAGGAATATTTTATTCTAGAATAGAGTATAATTTTCTGTTCTGGCTTAGTTTTTTGGTCCTGAGACTTTTTGGAATGCCAATCCTTAAACGATATCCTCATGGAACTATATAGGTCTAAGATAATTGATGTCGTCCATCACAATGTGTATTATCCAGAAGCTGTGACAACAACAACAACCCAGTATTTGTCCAGAAGCTGTGTAAAAGTTAAATATGGGATGATCTGCATATTGCTATATTCAGAATTAAGTTTCCATTATTTATTTGTTTTGGCCTTGCAGTAGCCACTACTTAGTTTTTTTTCTTCCCATGTAGTCACTACTTAGGGTGCTTGTGTGAACGTGGGATGTTTCATGCACTGGGTTGGTTTTTTTTTTTTTTTGATGTGTGAGATCCAAATTGTTATGTGCAGGCTGGAATGGGTGGAGGAACAGGGACTGGTGGGGCCCCTATAATTGCTGGAATTGCCAAGTCAATGGGTATCTTAACTGTTGGTATTGTCACAACCCCCTTTTCTTTTGAGGGACGAAGAAGAGCAGTTCAAGCCCAAGAAGGAATTGCAGCTTTGAGAGAAAATGTTGATACTCTGATTGTCATTCCTAATGACAAGTTATTGACTGCTGTTTCCGCATCAACCCCAGTAACTGAAGCTTTTAACCTAGCTGATGATATTCTTCGGCAAGGAGTTCGTGGTATTTCAGATATAATTACGGTATAAATGCTGAGTTCTCCAATCTTTTTGTTTCCGTTCAGCTCTCTCCTCTTTGTTTGCCAAGAATTTGAAGTTAAGTTGCTTTTCTCGGTCATGCTTTACATCTGGATTTTTCCGTTCATCTGTATTATCTTTTTTTTTTTGTAGTGTTGCTAAATATTTCAGCTTTACATAACGCTGTTTCATTTGTTTTCCTCCTTCTGGAAACCTAATAAGTTTATGCTCAACAACAACAACAAGGGTCTGGGGAGGGTAGTGTGCACGCAGACCTTAACTACGGTCCAATTTCTTTCTAACTTCTCCAAGTATTCATGTTTTGTGCATTTGATTTGTTTCTCTTTGACAAATATTCAACATTTTCATCTAAGGCAGGTCATCGTTTACTCAATTATATGCTAATAATCATTGCTTTTTCACCTAGAGTAGGTCATCATTTACTCAGTTATATCCTAGCAATCCATGTCTGATACCAATAGATGCATCTTAACTTGTTTTAATTTGGTGAAATCAAGTAGGAAGTAGCTGATAGTGCTGTAGTGCTTAGGTTGCTGTGAAATATAACTTTAAAAGAATGACATTTACATCCAATTTTGGGATACATGCTTTCTTAATGTGAGATGAATCTAGCATTATTTGCCGCCTGCCCCTAAAAGAGAGGGAGAGATAGGGAAGAGAGAGTGACCAGCTTTCATGCCCAGTCCATGTTAATGGATAGAACTGGTTCTGGTCAGACCTGGAAAAATGCGGTGAACCCTAGTAAATTCATATTCTTGGACTGGCCCAATGATGTTGATGTTGCTTTCTCTCTGTTTTCCTTTTTTAATATAAGGGAGTGTATAGGGCATTCCCTGCCTCTATCACAATGTTTTTCTCTTTTCTAATCCATAAACTGCTTTTTCGTCTTTCATTCTCCAGAAGTCCACATCCATCAGCTGCTCACAAATCCTTATCCATAATAGTATCAATCTCCCTACTAATTTATCCTGGTCTTGGTTTTGACACATTTGGAGAGACTATGGATCGTCTTTGATGTTTTTCTGAAGAAATTATGATGCCATACCCTGCATTCAGTTTATTATCAACAGCATAATAGTCTATGCTTATGTATCGCCACCAGCTTCTGAATCATATCAAATGATCTTTGTATGGGTTTGTAGAGCTATGAGTCTAATAAATTTGCATTTGACTTGTCCAAGGCTGATAATATCTATTTCCAAATGTCCATTCCTCTTCTTTTTATGCATCTGAATCCCGGTAGTGTAATATGTAACTTTGATGTCAGTTTTTGATATTTCCAACTATTCTTTGCTTATGGATGAACTGAATTCACTTTCAGAGCAGTGCACTCTTGTTAAGCGGGTGAATATGTTAGTCTGTATTTTTTATTCACAGTATGTGTACATGAATTCAGATTCCTGGGCTGGTTAATGTGGATTTTGCGGATGTGCGTGCTATTATGGCAAATGCAGGTTCCTCGTTGATGGGAATAGGAACTGCTACAGGTAAGTTCAGGAAGCTATTTTATTAGTTGTGGGCCATCACCTTTTTTTTTTTGGGTTACCGTTTAATTCATAATTTTATGTAGATGCGAGGAGACTATGAATGTGATGATGTGACCTTACACACACTGAGCCTATACAAACAATGAGTATGCCTCAGTCCCAAACAAGTTGGGCTCGGCTATATGAATCCTCATGTCTCGATTTAAGCTCAACTCATGTCATCACCGTACCAAATAAAACAAAAGTGAAAAACAAGTTAAACATATATAAGTAATAATAAATAATATTAGAAGTTCTCTAAGAAGACTACCTATTCACAACTAGTAGATATCACCTATATGGTTCTTTTTCTCCATTGTGCCTTATCATTAGCTAAGTCCTCTGATATTATTATTATCTGTACTCCTATAGTCAAAAGAGATTAAACAAACAATAGTTGGTGTGTTGTAGTTGTTCTAAATCGATTCCCCCATCTCAGGGTTCCCTGATAGCATCATTTTAACCAAGATAGATAACAGGATTTTCCAGTACAACCCTAACTTACCAAATGGTTGACTGCAGTGCACACCTACTGCCGCTTATGCTTGCCTGATATGCTATATACACTTTGAATTGAATGACAAAACCATCTGTTCAATACAAACAGTATCATAAGATCACTTGAGCTCTCATTTGCTCGTTCCCTTCGAAAACTACACATCCACTCTCCTTTTTTCCTTTCAGTATTTGGACTAGTGGAGCCCCCATAAATGAATAGCAATTCCAATTCTGGATCACCGAAAGATCGGACTAGTGGAGCCTCTTTATTTCCTTTCAATATATGTTCCTTCCTTGTTTTGGCCAAGATCTGAAAGTATTTCATACCCAAATTAAAAAACAGCGTAGTTATGAGTTCTAGAAGGTTACACGGAACAATATGTAGATCAGGATACCAGATATATGTATGGCCACCTAATTTCTTTCTCACCTCTTAAGTAGTTGGTCTTAGTTATGGAGCCTGTTTCCAGGGAAATTCTTTCTGTTGAGAATGTATACACGAGATGTGATATTGTTGGGTTGATATTGCAGGGAAGACCAGAGCCAGAGATGCTGCATTGAATGCCGTTCAATCTCCTTTGCTGGACATTGGCATAGAGAGAGCTACTGGAATTGTGTGGAATATTACTGGTGGTAGCGATTTAACATTATTTGAGGTACCCACCCTGTATTACTGGTGTGGTGAAGAATATTCTTAATGTTGAACATATCATGTATGAATAGTTGTATGAGTTTTTTCATTAATTTCCCTGAGTGATTGTTTCTTGGAATGGAAAAAATATTTTTTGTTTGTAGATATACTGTCAATGATATGAATTCATGAATTATCCAACTTTTGATGTCTTTTCTTACACTTGTATGTACTTGTGGAACTTCACTAGGTAAATGCTGCAGCTGAAGTTATATATGACCTTGTTGATCCAAGTGCCAACCTCATTTTTGGAGCTGTGATAGACCCATCATTAAGTGGACAGGTACACTAATTTCTCCCATCACTAGGATAATATTGCTTTTATTTAGATGATACTATGGTAAAATAACTAGCAGAGATCTCTATGTTAAAAAATTACAATGGACCTGGTTTTGAATCTCACAAGCTTCTAATACTTGAAACAGCATAAAAGTAGTTCCAACTATAAAACCTGAACTGTGACAGATAGTAACAGTTGATTTCCTTTACTAGGAGAAAGCGTTAATAGTCGATTTCTCTTGCATAACAAATTTAATTCTGAATTTACTTTTGAGATTATTCTTCGGAATTATGAAAAGACATACGGAGTATTACTTACATATTTAAAGAGAACGAAATATGAAAAAACAATTGGTCAGATAGTGGAACAACTTGGAAAAAATTTGTCATGCAAAGTTAGTACTTCCATGGTAACAACTTTTCTGGTCAGACGTCAAATATTGACCAAGTATAGGAAATGGTTTCTTTTTAATTGATAAATCAAGTGTTTAAGATTGGGACAAACAACATTGCTTGTTCTTGATGATGCAAATTTAGTGCTCCAATGAAGAGATGCATCAGTGTGATATTGCCATTAAATTTTCGCACCAAATGCTCATCTGAGTTAGTTCAATGGCAAACACAATTAGAATCTAGTAATGTTACAGCATTCTTATTACTTGTAATCTTTCTACTTACTAGTTTCAAGCTCTCTTTCCCTGAACCCTTGACCAATATTGATATTGGATCATGCTTACTCGCATTGTTATGCTCATGATGCAGGTCAGTATAACCCTAATTGCCACCGGTTTTAAGCGCCAAGAAGAAAGTGATGGAAGGCCCCTCCAGGTAGTCCTCTCTTTCACCTTCTCTTTGCAAGTGGCTGCAGCCGACATATTTGTTTGCTTAACATGTATCCTACTCGTGCAAATCCTATGTATTGGTGGGCATCTTGCGTAATGTGTTCCATGGTGTTGCAGGGAAACCAACTAGCACAGGGAGATGCCAACATTGGAATCAACCGACGACCTTCATCCTTCTTGGAAGGTGGTTCAGTTGAGATCCCTGAGTTCCTCCGGAAGAAAGGGGGCTCTCGCTATCCAAGAGTTTAAGTCAGTCCTCGCTTTTCTTGTATCTGTATTAGTCTTTCACCGTTTATATAACTGTCCTTTGTTCCCTCTCTATCTTTTGAGGTGATAATGTCTTCTATTTACAGGATCTTAGGTATGCTCCTAATAGTAACTCTATCTCAGGGAAGTTACATCCGATGCCCTTTCTTAGTACATGGATACTTGTTCTGTTTTTCACTAGTCATGCCGTATATATCACTTCTTGGCGTTCATTGGAATAAGCTGGAGCTTTTTACGTTGAGATATGGAAGCAGCAGTCAGCGACCTTGTCATTCATTTAAGTGTACTGCAACATATTTGATGTGTAGGTAGAACTCGGGCACGTGTGTGTGATTTAGGATCAGTTTTTCCTCAGTAGGGTATGTCCAATGCGTCCTATCTCTATGCTTTGCCACTAATAGTATGTGAAGATCAATTATGTTTGGTGTGAAATTGGAGGACTATCTTTATGATAGCAATGAAGATATTCAAACGACTAAGCCATTTTCTTTTGAGTGAAAAGATGCAGGTAGATTATCCACTGCTAGGGAGAATTGCAAAAGAAACCAATATTTGTGAAAGGATGAGTAGTAGTACAAGTACTGTTTTTAGTGCATTATATATCTAAACTCTCTGTAGGCCTATTTATACCCCTATACTCGGGTGATGTGCGGAAGAGCGTGGATGTACGAGTCCGGAACCCAATTGTGGTCTTTTTGGATTCAAAATACCGAAATAAGTGGAAAAAAAACTTAGTGACCAAACTATATTAAACGCGGTTTTAAACCGCGCTTTATTTTAACATCCGTTTGGGACGTTATGATAAAGCGCGTTTTAAAACCACGTTTTACATAAAACGCGTTTTCAAAACACGCTTTACCTATTTTGTGGGCCCACCGATAACTCTTATGCGCTTAACTGACATAACAATAATTCAAATAGGTAAAACGCCTTTTTAAAAAGCGTTTTACTTCAAAATACATTTCAAGTTTCAGCAATCAGGCGCCCACCTGGAGAACAAGGGAATACATTTTAAGTTCAGCAGTCAGGTGCCCACCTGGAGAACAAAGGAAGTACAATTCAGGATTTTAGCTTTCAATTTCTAGTNAACTCTTATGTACGCTTAAACTGACATAACAATAATTCAAATAGGTAAACGCCTTTTAAAAGCGTTTACTCAAAAACCCAACCCCCCCCCCCCCCCGATTGGGCATTGCCTTATTTAAAGGCGTTAAGGGTTGTGCAAAAATTCATTTAGAAATATTCTCAACTCCTAATAAATTTTTCTTCTTGTCAAATTCTCAAGCTTATCTTCATAATGTTGGAAGAGCGAAAAGTAAGGGTTTCATTATATTGGGAGGGGGGACGGGTGAGGTTGTGGTGAATAACTCAGTGAGCTATAGTTTATCTCCACCGAGTCGTGTTAAGTTGCCACTTACAATGGTGTACGATAGACTGGTATCGTTGTTATGTAATAAAATGAGTGTGAACAAACGTTCGGTGAATCTTAAAATAACCTGAAGATACCCGTATTCTGTAACTCTGCAAGGGGTTGCTTGTTACGCTGAGTTTAACATCGAGGATGATGAAACTCTAAGAGATTTTTTGGGGACTCCGAATGAATACCAAGAATTAATTTTGATAAGAATATTGGAAATGTACGTGAAGGTTGAAGACGTTCGCAATAATTAGGTTGCGCAAAGCAGGGATAACCCTCAATCATCGGGTGGTTATTCTGGAGCAGTTTTAGCCGAACAGGTTCCGGCTGAAAGAGTTTGGCCGGATCTAAACTTATCTCCACGGGCGAATGAGGAGCGAGGAAATAATTTCTCTCCTACTTTACATAATCCACAAGACTACTGGTAAACTTCATTTTTCCTTTGTGTTACGATCTTTACTTTTGTTGTATTGAATTTGTATTAACACTCATATATTCCACACGGGGTACCATCCAGATATGAATTTTACAAGTAATGAACCCACGTCCAGTTGGAATATGTATAGTTTTGGTGTGTTGGATCATGGTGGTCCATCCGGGAGCCATCACCAATAAGATAATGTACATCATGGAATGTCAACACATTACGACTTGTAAGTGAAGTGATGTAGCTATATGTAAAGTATTTATCAATTTGAGTAACTTATTATTTTGTTGTTTGTGCAGTGAAAACGAGGAACTTGATGGTTCTGTCCTCACTCAGTTGCCCGTAGACGACGTATTTATTCGGGATTGGGCAGACGCGCAGAGTCAGGAAGATAGTAGTGATTATGACAACAATGTCGATGAGTCTAGATATGACACACCCTTCCATGACGAGGGTGATGATGAGGAGGAAGAGAATGCCGAACCTGATTTGACGAGGGATCATGCTCCACCTCCCGTTAGACCAAGAGTGTACGAGTCCCACGTGCCGTTTCATTCAAGGCATATTCCCTACCTTGATCATTTGCCAAGTATGCCGGATGTGGATGCCTTCACAAGGGATTTTGACAAAATTCGACAGCAGTGTGGAATGAGTCTAGACCAACGGTGCTGGCAAAGGGCATGCTTTTTCCTGATAAAGCGCGCCTAAGCAGGGCGATGAAAATGTGCGTAAAAGAGTGTCGTGAGATGACGGTATAGGAGTCAAGTCCGGATGTATACAAGGCTGTTTGCCGTAGATGGTTAACGGGTTGTCATTGGATGTGCGTGCGAGCAAGAAGAAAACAGGGTTGTGGAAAGTGGGTAAATGTATTGGCACCCACAATTGCGAAATGGACACATTCAATGGGAATCACTTCAACTTGGATGTTGCCTTGATTTCTCTTCAACTGATTCCACACATTGAAGTGTCCATAAGGTACAAGATCAAAGAGTGTATTACATCCGTCCACCAGGAATATGGGTGTACTTTTACCAAAAGAAAGGCATATCTCGGGCGCAAACGTGCATTTGAAATTATTTATGGTGATTGGTATAAGTCATTTGCATCTCTACCTAGGTACATGACCGCATTGCAACACTTTAACTCCGGGACTGTAGTTGAATGGAAGCTTGAGCAGAGTGCAGGAATACCGGAATATATATTCAGATACGTGTTTCGGGCATTTAAACCAGCAATTAATGATTTTGTGCATTACCGTCTGGTAATTTCCATAGACGGTACTCATGTCTATGGAAAGTATGATATTAAGCTGTTGATCGCCGTTGCAGTAGATGCCAATGGACAAATATTTCCCCTAGCTTTTGCCATCTGTGCCAATGAAATCCAAGAGAAGTGGACGTTATTTTTGAACCACTTGAAGGAGCACGTTGTCAAACAACGTTCAGGTATTTGTCTAATATTCGATCGGCATGGAGGTATATTAAGTTCTGTAGAGCATTTGCCTGAATGGCAAGAACCGTATGGATACCACCGTTACTGTGTGAGGCACCTGAAGGCCAATTTCTAGAAGAAATATCCCAACAAGGACTTGCATGATTTAATGTGGATGGATGCAACTGATCACCAGGAGTGCAAATTCAGGAGGCGCATGGAATTGATCCGGTAGGAAGACGAAAAAGCCTATCATTGGTTGATGCGACATGACCATAAGTGGACATTGCATGCGGATGGTGGCAGACGATAGGGAACCCTGGCTACAAATGTATCGGAGTCTTTCAACGGGTTATAGAAGTCTGCACGTGGATTGCCTGTCACTGCCATGATGCGGATGTCATTCAAACAGATGGCGGAGAGGTTTGTTGAAAGTCATAGAGGTGCATCGAAATTGATGGATAGGGGTGTTGAATTTATGCCAATACCAATGAAAAGATTTGAGAAATATAGGAGGCTAGCACATTGGCATTCATATTTACAGTATTGCAACGAGCGAAATATTTTTGAAGTTCGCACCGCTATACACCAAAATCGAGGGAATAATATACACACCGTAAATGAATCCAGCAGGTTGTGTTCTTGTGGGAAATGGTCCATCTATCACATGCCGTGCTCACATGCCATGAAGTGCTTTCAACATATAGGTTTAGGGCCAACCAACTATGTTGATAAGCAATACAGTGTTGCTGCATATTTAAACACATATAGTGGGCAGTTGCAGCCAGTGGGTGCTGAGCATTATTGACCACCGAAACCATTTAAAATGGTGTGTAACAAGGACTATTTGCGTAAGCTACAAGTGCAAAAAAGAACACGTATACAGAACCAAATGGATGTTGGTGATACTATTTATGCGTGTAAATGTCGCATATGCTCGCAAACAGGACACGACCGTCGTAAATGTCCTTCAGTTGGTTTGGGTGGCGGTGGTAATCCAGCTGCTGGTGGAAGTTTATCTAATGTGCCCAACTATCAAGGATACACGTAGTGTTTTATTTTCGTCATGTGGTTGTAATAAGTGTATGTATTTATGTTGCAAGATGTATCAATTAATATTATATTTCCATTGTTGTTAAATATTTTTGATATTTAACATTTTTCAGTTAAGTAAATTAATGAATTTCTTCCTCAAGTTCATGTAATCAAAATATTATTGGATTAAAACACGGAAAACTTTTACGTTTACTTTCGCTGCTCACTCTAACATTATTAGAAAACTACGCTGTCAGAGGAGGAAGATGTTTGATAAATATGTGAATATTAATAGTGCGGTTAAATACTACGTTATGTGTGTTGTCTTGTCGATCTGAAAAGTTGCTCGCCTGCGAAAAAGTTGTTTTGTATCCGAAAGAATCTTTAACACGCGAAGCATAGCGCAATTAAATACTACATTATGTGTGAGTATATATAACGCGGTTAAATACTATGTTATGTGTGTTGTCTTGTTGATCTGAAAAGCTGTCTGCCTGCGAAAAAGCTGTTTTGTATCCGAAAGAATCTTTAACACGCGAAGCATAGCGCTGTTAAATACTACGTCATGTGTGAGCATAACGCGGTTAAATACTACGTTATGTGTGTTGCCTTGCCTATAAATAACGGGCGCATTCTAGTTATTTTTTGTGCTTAACCATAACAAATAGCAAAACTTTCCATAAAAGTAGGGTTTTTTTCGCTTTAACAAATGTCTAAACACATTTATGTACCAATGTGCCAATGTGGCAAACGCTGTGTGTTGGCGGATTGTTGGGATGATCGTCAAGTTGGGCACAGATACTGGATGTTTGTGAACAGGTTTGGAGGCAACAACGGAAATTATTGCAATTTTGAGGTATGACTTGATGAACCCTGTAAGTAGGAATGCCACAAAGAGTCTTCGCAGTGTTATCATGATTTGACCAAAAGATACTGGATGATGAGATTATGTATAAACGAGAAATTGCGGCGTTGAAGGAGAAACTAAAAGTGGCGGAAGAAGAACAAATAAGCTGGAAGAGAAATTTAAGTGGTTGGAGCAGAGAATACTAGGCGGTCGAGACTAAACAATGACATGTATGTGTTTAGTGTAGTACTTTATCTTTATGTTTTCCGTGTCATGTCTTTTCATTAGTTGTACTAAATTTAAATTATGTTAAGTTTCTATGTTTGTATTTTTGTTGTAGTATTAAAATAAAGAAGAACCGGGAAAATAAAAACATAATGCGCATATAATGTAAACATAAAAAATTGTTGTTATTATTTACATAAAATACAAAAAAAAAATCAA